AAAAGTAGCCCTGATGAAAGCAGTCATCTGGGAGTTCAGGCTCCTGTAATCTACTCCCATTTCTTAGATATATGGAGCATGTGAGTAGAGGCTATTCCTGTATCACTTTTCCCTCAGTAAAAAGCTGATTTTAGAAGAATGTCTTGGTTAGGAGTTGCTCCATTAAAAATGCTAGAACTACAAGTCTCTTGCATTATGGCTGATTAGATAGCTAGGGCTGTTAATGACTCTGCTGAGTGTTTGATGAAAGGTGCTGTGTCAAGATCTTCACTTGGATTGACTGAGTAACCACTGTGTGTTCAGTCAACACAGCGCAGGACATCTGAATTCAGCAAAGGACACAGTGCTGCAGGCCCTGCCCTTGGGAGCTTTCGCTATGAACATGCCAGAGCAGAGATAGTGACCTCATACGTCGCAGGGAACATCTTCCCTGGATTGTCCTGAAGTCACCTCAAACTCAACACGTTTGAAATAGAACGCAACCCTTCTCACACATCCAGGGGGTCACATGGTTTCTCCATTCGCTCGGACTAGAAATCACACTTTCACGCCAGTGGGTCTGCACTGTCTCCTATTATTGATACTTTCCATCTGTCTCCTGTGTAGCCTGGCATCCGGCTTCCTCCCACTTTTATAATGACTTCAGGGATGGTCTCTGCAAATGCAGATTCACCCTCGCCAGCCCACCCTCTGTGTTGTTAAAGGGATAACTTCCTAAAACTGACTATTATGTTAACCACCTTCCCCTAAAACCTTCAGTGGCTCCTTGCTGTCTGCTGTATCAGTTCTAAAGTTCTCAGCCTTAGAGGCAAAGCCCGTTCATGAAAGAGCTCCATTATGCCTTTTTAAGGCTTATCTGGGACGAGACCATTAATGCAATACATCAATATCCTCCAAATATGCTCTGTATTCTTCAGCCTTGAAGTCTCTTCTCATACAATCCCCCTAATAAAATTCTTTACCCATTTGAACCATCTTTTAAGGCACTAGCAAACTTTTGCTTCCTTCTTGAGGATACAGAGTATGTGTCAACATTTGGGTTACCTTGGGCCACCCCAAGGTGGAACTAGAGCAGGCTCCCCTCATTCACATACACGATCAAATCATAAAACATGGAAAGATGAGAGGATGTGATTATGGGAATGGTTGGCTGGATATGAACAGGTAGGATTACCCTACAATGTGCCATCTTTTGAAGACAGACTCAAATTGTAAGCATGACCCATGCATCAGTTTTATTATAGAGAGAACCACAAAGATATATATAACCTTGCAGTTATATATGTATATATAACTGCGACCAGGGATGAGAGATAAAGAAGATCGGTGGGCAGATGTATACAGATGGCGAAGTGAAGATCTTCAGTGTCATCTTTGTTTTGTAGTTAAGGGAGGAGGGCTGTTTAGCAATGGTTTCATTTCAGTACTCAAAACCCAAATCACTGTATAGAATGTACATATTTAGACAGTAAATTAAGCTTTTCGTTTTCTTTTACTTGATGTGTTTCTTTCAAATATGTTTATCCAAACACATTTGCAGGGAGGGGTGGAAAGTGCCAGTTACACAAGAAAATCTATCCTCTGCCCGACTGAAGAAATTGTTCAAACAGAATGCATTCTTTCATAAGCACTGCTTCCTAACTCAACCAGGGTCAGTAAAGTCTTAGGTTATTAGTTATGTAATCCCTAGTTCCTCAAACTGCAGTTTTGATTTGAACACGCGGTTTCAATTAGTTGCTTCAGATTTTTGCCCCTAGATAGATCTCATTTTTAGAATCAAGGCAGACTCAGATAATCATAACATTTTAGAATCATTCCTGACTTGGCAGATAACACACCTGACCTCTGAGAGGTAACTTCACCAGAATCACAGCTCCAAGCCCAAGCTCCATAAAACCCTGAGTTGTGTTTTCCAAGAAGATATGCTGAAGCCCTAACCCTTGGTATCTGAAAATGTGACCTTATTTGGAAACAGTTTTTTGCAGACATGTTTAAGATGTAAATTAAGGTGAGGTCATCGTGGAGTATGCGGGTGCTTAATCCAATATAACTTGAGTCCTTTTAAGAAGAGAAAGGAGATGAGACAGACACACAGGAAGAATACCACGTGACCACAAAAGCACTCCAAGAAACCCCACCAGAAGCTAGAAAGAGGTAAGAAAGGATTCCACTCAGAGTTTCAGGGGAAACATGATCCTCTTAATGGCTTGATTTTGGACTTATTCTAGATTCTAGAATGGTGACAGAATATATATGTGCCGTTTTAAACCACCTGGTTTGTGGTACTTTGTTACAAGCAGACTTTGGAAACTCATACACCTCTCTCTCTTTTCGGATGGCTCATTTTATTTTATATTATGTTCTCTTAGAACTTTCAGAACAAAATGAATTGGGTGGCGTCTGGGTGCCAGACAGTGACTTGAACTTGGTGAAATCACCAAAGCCTTGCCTCACATGCTCGTCCTGAAGTTCATCTCTTCTGACCTCTGGGGCCATTATTATCCCTGATTCCATGCCCAGAACTGTGCAGATGCTTCCATATCTTGTTTTATTCAATTCTTACAAAACAGATTCTAAAATTGCTACCATTATTTATGCCCGTTTTATAGATAATAGAAGCTGAGGTACAGAAAGGTTAAATAACTTACCCAGAATCACATGGCAAGAAAACGATGGAGTTGAGATTACAAACTACATCCAACAGACTTTAAAACCCACATATTCCACTTGATACTATAGTGTAGAAAATGACCGTGAACTGTTTATCTTAGAAATTCACCTTGGAAACCCCCCAGATTTATTTGAAGTTCCTTCAGAATTTAGCTCCAATGTTTTTTCTAGCCTCATCTCTTACCATTATGCCCTATCACACACACACACACACACACACACACACACACCATAGGAGGATTTTTACATTCCCTGGAACACACAGGCTCTTTCTTCCCTCCGTTTCCTGCATTCTCTTTTCTTGACACCAGATGCCTATCCCCAACACCTTATACACATTGTGAACATGACCCAGAGGAAACATCAGCCTCTCTCTGAGTCCCCTAAACTCCATACATAGTTGTGACCTTCTTACAACACTATTCAAGCTTATATTCTAACAGTGGGCTGGGACTAGGGTGAGGCTCTTGAGTCACCCAGGCGTGGTGCCGGAGGAGACAATTGAGGAGACACTCACTGTTAGGGTCTAAGAGCAGAGTAATCAGTGGGATATTCATTTATTTTCATTCCTGCAGTAGGGTATCTCCTGGAGCAAATTCTGCTGTACTGGGAGCAGAGGAAGAGAGAGGAGATGATCCTCTCCGACAAGGAAGAGAATGAATGGAGTTGGGTGACTCCTAAAGGCCACGGGAGTCAGGCAGGCCCTACCCTTGGTTGCTGTTCAGTGTCTCAGTCATGTCTGACTCTTTGCAACCCCATGGACTGCAGCACCCCAGGCTTCCCTGTCATTCTTTATCTCCCTGAGTTTGCTCAAACTCATGTCCATTGAACTGATGATGCTATCCAACCCTCTCATCCTCTGTCGTCCCTTTCTCCTCCTGCCTTCAGTCTTTCCCAGCATCAGGGTCTTTTCTAATGAGTTGGCTCTTCCCATCAGGTGGCCAAAGTATTGGAGCTTCAGCTTCAGCATCAGTCCTTCTGAAGAATATTCAGGGTTGATTTCTTTTAGGATTGATTGGTTCGATCTCCTTGCTGTCCAAGGGACTCTCAAGAGTCTTCTCCAGCACCACAGTTTGAAAGCATCAGTTATTCAGTGCATAGCCTTTTTTATGATCCAACTCTCACATGACTACTGGAAAAATCAAAGCTTTGACACTATGGACTTTGGCAGCAAAATGATGTCTCTGCTTTTTAATATGCTCTCTAGGTTTGTCATAGCTTTTCTTCCATGGAACAAGCATGTTCCACTCTTTCAAGCATCTACTCTTAGCGGAGCCCTGCAAAATAGTAAGAGCGTGGCAGGCAGAGAGAGCTTTCCATTTATCTAGCAAATTGGTTTTGGGTAACAGGGTCCAGTGTCCTTGAGGATCCAGTGGCCTATGTGTGTCATGGAAATAGTGGGACTTCCAGACCTCAAGGAATAAGCTAGGAGTGAACCACAGGCATCCGGGAATAGTCTGTGTGGACCTAAGATAGTAGAGGGTCTCCTCATATGCTCTGGGCTTTGAAAAACCAAAAGACCTTTGCACAACAGGGGCAAAGCAGGGAGGGATCTTCAGAAATGCCCAAGACTGAACTTCCCAGATGCCCTGCAAGGTTAGAGCTTAGAGTAGTATTTAATCTCCTTTCAAGAAGATAAAGAAAAACAACATTTATTGCACACATATCTCAGTTTGTGAGGCATGATTCATACCCAAATTATTTGTTTTCCTGACTGTCTCTATTACTGGACCATGAGTCCAGGGCAAAAACTCACACCCTTTTGTCTTTGCATTTTCAGCCTTTGCATGGTGGCTATTGAAAAGCAGGCCCTAAACAAATACTTGCTAGATGGCTGAATGAATAAATGAATCACTCAGTCATGCAGTTAATCAGTCTCTAAGGGCTCTTCATGCCATTTGATCCTATGAAGGAAATGAAAAAGTACCAGATCCTCCAATTCAATCTTTTATTTCAGAACGGAGCTGAAGTCCAGTCCTCCCCACCATGGAAAAAAAAAAAAAAAAATTGCCCAAGGCAGGGGGAGGGAGAAGGAAAGGTTGGTTACTAACTTGTAAAGGCTTCCTCTTCCTTTAGGTTTTTGATTCGGGAGGATGAATGAGTGAATTTTCCTGCTCTTTTATTTGGTGTAGCACTAGCTTCCTCCAGGCAATGTGAGAAATCAAAGAGTTAGCTGGGTCCCCACATCAGAGAATTTGATTAAGGACTGTGGGAAGCTATCAGGGAATGCTGTTAGGGAAACAGTGCTACCCCTCTGTTTTTCTTCATGCCTACTGAAAACTCAGAACTTCACTAACCGGTTTTTCCAGGTGTGCTCATTCTGGAAGGCCATGACCTGGATAATTTGGCTGAGGAAACTTCTCATGATGATGTGGCTACCTGTGGTGTGCTTACCTGGTTTCCAGGAGCCAAGGACAACAGGATTCAAAATAATATTCTGTGGTAGTTAACATTCACAAGGTTTTTTTTTGTGTGTGATTTCTTTCATGAGCATTTATTGTGACTTCTTTCCAGGAAAAAAAAAATCTAAGAGCTATGTATCTGGAAAATAGTCCTGGAGACAGTCAGGAAAAATGAACCAAAAAATAAATATACAAAACCTCTCGTGGAGTAAGTAAGCCATCAGGTTACTCCTCTTTCTCTTCCAAACCGCTTAAGACAATGGTCCACTATTAAATATAATTTAAAGGTCCAATATTAAATATAATTAGTTAAATTGGAAATTTGATAAAAACCAGCTTGTATCACAGGAATCACTGGTTTCCCCAAATCCTTGATGAACAGCGGCATTTCATCCTTCCTGTTCCTAGGACTCCTAAGAGATCCCCTTTCCTCTCCTATCCAGCCTGGTTCAGCTCCTGATTAAATTCTTTTCTCTTAGACTAACAGGCTGGCTCTTCTTTCTCTGTTCCAAAGGTTCCATACCCTATTAACCATCTGTAAGAACAGAAGGGTGTTAACTCTCCTAAGAGGTGAGACAGAGAGCGTCCGGGGACCTCTATCAGCTGAGGACTGTTTGGTTATCTTTCCTCTTCTTTCTTCTGCACCCCTTTTTGGGGTGACTCATCCCATCCTTGCTCCTTTTTGGTTCCGCTGGAGTTCAAAGGATTAGGCAATGGGGTTTGGTTGCAATACTCTAGCCCCACCCAGGGGTCAGGACTCATGGCCAAGTTCCTCGCAAGAGGTCACTGTGGCTGACTGCTCCTGGGCCGCTGAGGCTGCAGCTGCCTGATCTCAGACACACAAGGGCACTTCTGACTCTGCTGGCTGTAAGGTTAGTTTGGCCTGGTGACCACGTGGACGTTCCAATGACCAGGCAGCTCTCCTCTTTTCCTCCTGGGTTCAAGTCTGGAGACACAGATTTTGAAACCAAGAGAAACAGACTTGAGAAACCAAAACAGAATTAGAGAGGAAAATGGTATAAAATTTACAGACTAGGAAAAAAAGAAAATTGCCTCTGTAAGAATATGTTCTTGATTTCTGATAGAAATAGTTTATATCCATTACATCTGTGAACCAAATATTGACCCGATCATGGCTTTTAATGATAGTGTAAGGACAAGCTTATAATTCCTACATCAAGGAATGAAGTTAAATGAAATTAGATAAAAATAAAACTAGTATCTCTAACTTTAAAATTTTCCTGGTGCTCAAAGTTCACTTTCAAAGTTCAACAGCAGCTGGTCTACCTTCATGACCTCCACTAGAGGAACCTGCTTTCCCTCAAGTGTTAGCATTCTTGTGTTAAATTTGCTTCTCCTACTTTATTTCTAGGCTATCATGTATTTTTATCATGTGTTTTAAAGCTGCACATTGACTATGAATCTGTCTTATGTGATTCTTGATACACCTGTGTATTTAAATAGACACTTTGAAAATGTAACGTTTTATTTACAATGTAAGTTTGGGCAAGTTCACCCTTGCACTTCCGTTGAAAGGAGCCTAATCAATTTATGATCTAACTTGCATCACTTCCTCATTGTCTTAAGATTCTCTGATTCAGAACTTGTGGGGAGAGCCTGAAGTTGCTTGGTGCTCAAAGCACCTTTTATTTTTTATGTAAAATATGCTCTGGTGCTCATGCGCTTTTTAAATAGGTCCCAATATCTTGACATAAGCATGCTCCCAGACAACCCAGAACCTGTCATTTTATTCCATTTCATTCTTCAGTTTCTCCCAGGATCCATTTCAAACAAAAGAGTAAAAGTGACTATATAAATACGTTAGGTAAGGGGAAAGGAAGACAGAAATACTTATAAGTTGCAAACAGGAAGAAGAAATTAGGACAAATGGGGCTTTGGGAAGGCTGCAAACCTGTCTGTAAACAAACAGAGACTGCCCTGGAGAACCTTGATATTTGTCTTTGCTCTGATGGTGCAATGTGGTCTAGGAGTCTGACCAACTGGGAAGCCAAGACTTAGGTTCTCAGTTTTATTTCAGGCTTGCTGTTCTGGGCTGAATAGCCTTGGACTGGCTGGCCTTGGTCAGGGCTTCTTGATCTGGCAGATATGCAGACTTCTCAACGTTTATAAGTAGAAAGGTTGCTGAGGGGTGAAGAACCTGGTTACAACTAAAGCAAGGCTATCATAGGTGAATGATCAATGCAAGGAGCTTGAGTTTTCACTTGCACATTTGGAGGCAAACTCCAATCTTCTCTGCCCCATACATTGTGTTTGTATTCATGAGGTCCCTGATCATCCAGGCAGTTTGGAAAGAGGTGGGGAATGTGTGTGAGGAGCAAAGAAAACCATCTTTTGACAGTCTAAGGTGGTTTTCTGTGCTTTGCACATCCTCTTTCCTCAGCACCAACCTCTGTTTAAACTTAGGAATTTATATCGCAGTGTAAGATTTTATAATTAGCATGACTAGTTATTTGTATTTTTTTCTCCAAATGATTGCATATTTGCATATTATAGAAAAGATATTCAAACATATCTAAAGTTCTTTTTAAAGGCAACCAAGTTTAAAGAAAGCCCCACTTCTATGAAAATTCCACACTCCTTAGAATGGTTTGGTTTACCCCAACTTGCTGATCAGTGAAACCCATAAATAGTTAAAAACCTCCAGCCCGTGATAAAGAGGAAGTAAATAGACTTATCTCATGACCCCAAAACACATCAAAAAACTGCAAAATAATTAATTTTTTTTTACTTGGCATTTCAACAAAATATTTTAGACTGAAAATTTTATTTCTGAATTGGGTTTTCATCTCAATGTTGGAGTCAAATGAATTTGGAAATAATCATGCTTTCTTTGATTTCAAAATGCAGGCTTTAATAAGAAAATTACTGCTTTTGTTTTTTAAATCATGCAATCACTCAAGAGGAATGGATTCAAAATTATTGCGATTAAGCCTATGAACAATTTACAAAATATAAAAGCTAATTCTTTAGAATAAATATCCCATTCTTAGTAAGTTTTCTTTTTTCCTTTTTCTTTTAATGTTGAGCATTGTTTTCTTTTTAGAGCTCTTTTCTAGCTCTCAGAGCCTAAAAATATGATCTGAACCAACAGCAACTTTTCCCCTCTTCTTTCTTCCTTCTCTTCCTCTTCCTTCCCACCATTCTGGTTTTTATCTCCCTTTCCCTGACCTTTTTCTCCCCAACATGTTTCAATACCTACTGTGTACCTGCCACATTGATGCTGAGTGCCTTGGATTTAAAGGTGAAAAAAATCCAGGTTCTTCAGAGAGAAGGTCAGGGGGACAGAGGGCAGCAAACTCCATTTCCCTGTGCCAGAAAGTGTTGAGAACTCAGGCCAGACACCAGGATGCAGGAGAGAGCTTCTCAGAGGAGGTGAGCTTTGCACTAATACTAAAAGACAAGTAGTGATTAGCCAGGGCTTCCCAGGTGGCACAGAGGTAAAGAATCTGCCTGCCAATTCAAAAGACACAAGAGACATGGGTTAGATCGCTGGTTGGGAAGATCCCCTGGAAGAGGAAATGGCAACCTGCTCCAGTATTCTTGCATGGAAAATTCCACTGACAGAGGCGCCTAGAGGGCTACAGTCCATGGAATCACAAAGAGTCGGACACTACTGAGCAATGGGCAGCAGAACAGTGATTAACCAGGGACTTGAAGAGCATGAATGCTGGGAACAGCATACACAAAAGTGCAGAAACAGAATGCTGGTTGACACCTCTAATTTATTTGGGGTGGAAGGGAAGGGGTTGAAAAATGAGAGGAAGAGATGAAGCTGGAGTCTGAGGTAGGATCAGGGGCTATTTATGTCTGGCTATGGAACCTGGATTTATTCCTGTGGGTACATGGGAGCCACAGAAGGTGATTAGCTAGAAGAATATCAGGACCAGATTTGCATTTTAGAAAGAAAGATGACCTGGTTTCCTTCTAGAGGTCTCAAGAAGTTCGGTGTTGAAATTAAGAGGTTTTGGGAGATACTGTGTCATATGAATGTGAATTTTATTCCAGAATCAACCTGGACCCATGCATGCGTTCATGCAGCAAGACTTTAATTAAACATCTGTTTTCCACAAGGCCCCCAGCTCAGTGCTGTAGCAAAAACAAAACTTTTAAGACACAGTCACTGCAGTGCTCCCAGCATCCTTCTTGAATACCGTATTTTGATGAAGCAAGCTTGCTCCTGCCTCAATCTCCCCAGCGAATCCCCATGTACTGTCTCTAACATCCATTTTGTGTAGAGTTTAATTCCACTATTCTAAAAATGCCTTTTTTGGTTGTTGTTTTGAAATGCAACAGCTCTGATAAGTTTAATAGCATCTATTCTTCCTCTTTCTTAAGAAATATTTTCAGTGTCAACGACATCTCCCCTCGTACTCACCATTGACAAAAACGGTAACAAAACGAAGAGCAAAACTTAAAGGCTTGTAAATCTGCACAATTCCCCAATCTAGGTGGATGAATTTCCTTCATTTCCAAGAGAGTTCAAAGTGCTACAAGTTAATTTAAAAGAAAAAAAAAAGCTGGTTGAACATTCTCACTCTAATTCCACTTGTAGGAAATAAAGGAGGATAGAAATTAACACCTATCTCAGTGGAGTGTTCTGAGAAATCACTGTGTGAAAAGGCAAGAGCGTGATCTCAATCAGAACCCTCTGCAACAAGATTTTGGAACCAAATATAGCTCCTATCACAGTCTTGGCTTGTAAGTGGAAACAATAGATCTTACAATTAAATTTCTGGGGCTTCTAGATGAAAAAAAAAATCCCAAATAATCTTCATTTATATCTTACACCAATTTCCTGAGGTTTTTAGAAATTACAGAACTTGCCTATTATACCATCTTTTCTAAGGACACTTGTACAAAGTAATTTCACTTTCAAAAATTAGAAAAACTTTTTATAATGACATTGTTTAAGGTAAAAGTGAAAAATGACTTGGAAAGACAGTAACACTGGAAACAAGACCACGAGCTGAACAAAATGGGTATCACACAAGGAACAGCAACAGAAAGCTAAATGTAGAA